CACCTCCGTGGAATTTGGCAAAGCTCTCCAGCTAGAAAAATGTTAAAAGCTACACTCCTGTGAGCTTACCACCATCCCTCTTTCTCTAGTTAACTCAGCCAGAGCAGGATGATGTAAGACCTGGTCATAACCTTTTGGTTTTAGATTCTTTTTTACTTCTTGAGGAATTTCTCATCCCAACAAAACTATAAGGAAAGTTGATTTGCTCTACCTTCAGCATAAAGCCAAGAAATAGCAAGCCCACACTTTCTTAATACAGGGGCCACCTTTCATTAGGAGACACATCTTCCTCTAATTATATTTCAAAAAAGATTATTTGAAGACAAAAAATTCTTCCCTACTGCAAGGTTAAAGACAATTTACATAAACTGGTATTCTTGGAAGGTATTTCACTATTAAAAGAAAAAGATAGATCCGTCTGGGTTCATGATGATATGAATTGGAACACAGTCCATGAAAGAGTATTTCTAACAAAATAAAAACACCTCCTAGACACAAGCTTTTAGACATCCAAGACATTTTATCCACTTTGTCAAAGAGTGGCATATTTTCAACATATATACATTTATATACACACATGTACAAAGGGTACACAGCTGTCACTTAATTCCGTTTGTGCTCAAAAACAGCAAAGAAAGAACCTAAAATTTCTTCCCTATTTTTATTTAAATAAAGTTTCCATAGCTGTTCTACCACAGACCAGAAGACTCATTAATTTCTTAAGGATTACTGCAGTAACAGTGCTTGGAAAAGAAGACTTTTCATCAATTCTGCAACGTGTCATATTAATTATAAATGACATAATGGAAATACTCTAATACATCTTCACTATGTGTAACATGAAAAAATTCAAATGTTTCCATGATAAACAAGTTCTAAATATTATTCTTAGCTCTTCAACATTTTTAACAGTAGACCTTGTTGAATTTTACAACCTCTTTTAATTTTAGAACGAGAATAAAACCCTCACCTTCACTAGCAGACATGAAATGAGACAATGAAAGAGAACAATGATTTCTCTCCTTACCACTGCAATTCCTCTCCAAGCTTCTCTGAGGAATCTTCTGGCAGCAGTTTATACATATCATCTTCTTCAAGCTTCCGTTTATGGCCAATAATAAATAAGGGATTCAACCACCTATTTGAATACAAATTATTAATAAACTGATCAGCAGACCAAGAGAGTAATATCTTTACATATTAATATTTACATATTAATTTTTTACCCTTTTCTTGCCTTCTCATCTCCCACATCACTCAACAACCACAAATTTTATTGCACTTTTCTCTTACCTAAGAACTGTCACCCCCACTTTACAAATGGGAAAGCATTTCCCATTTCCTAAAGCTGTTTATGCCCCATAGCACCTTACGCTCAGGCAACGAGACAGTCAGCACAACTTTTCTTGGCCTTAGGACAACTGTTTTCTTACAGTGTTTCCTTATATTTAAGGACAATCAGCATTCGTTTAAATATTTAGGAAAATAAAGAACCCAACTATTAAAATATTGAGAAAGTTGTAAATAAAATTGTAATACATATTAAAAGACATTTTTTGTAACTAATGTGGCCATTTATATGAGGAAAAAAATAACTGCTGTTCAACTGCCATCTTGACAAAATATTAAAGGTCAGCAATTTCAAGACAACCACTCAAATGTAAAAATGGGTGAATAACGGATTATCACTAGAACTGATCTTAGCCATGTTTGGAAATACAAACAAGACAACAACTGTCACAGTGTGTAGGTTCAAAAAAGGAAAATATTGTCTAACACCTCAGTTTCCTCAGCAGACAAATTTTTAAAAGCTCAAAATTTTATGAGCACTTTGAAAACAAACTGTAATAGCGCTACTGTAGGTTTCTTGGCAAAGGCAGCATTTTGTTACACCAAATAATACTGTCAGGGAACAGGAAGACTAGTTTTTATGCACCTAGATCCTTCTTCAAGTCTGAAACATAGGTCAAGGAGGTCCAAACAGTTACAGCTGTGCTCCACAGAGCAGATGTATGGCAGAAAGCACAAAAATCACAGAATCATTAAGGTTGGAAAAGACCTCTAAGATCAAGACCAACCATGTACCCAACACCACCATGCCTGCTAAACCATGTCCTGAAGTGCCACATCCACATGTTTTATGAACACCTCCAGGGATGGGGACTCCACCACTTCCCTGGGCAGCCTGTTCCAATGCCTGACCACTCTTTCAGTGAAGAAATTTTTCCTAATATCTAATCTAAACCTCCCCTGACGCAACTTGAGGCCATTGCCTCTCATCCTATAGCTAGTTAGTTGGGAGAAGAGACCAACACCTGCCTCACTACAGCTGCCTTAGAGAGCGGTAAGGTCTCCCCTCAGTCTCCTCTTCTCCAGACTGAACAGCCCCAGCTCTCCCAGCCGCTAAAAAGTGACTAAGTTGTCCATGAGATGGAGCAAAAGAGAATGACACTTCTGAAACAGGTATGGCTTACTGAGAACAGGGCAGGTAAGGAAACTGCAGTTTGCCACTTAGTTTGTCTCTACGGAATCCATGATCCTTGGTTTCCAGGAGGAGTGCAGATTTTGGCTCTCAGGCTTGTTTCCTACAAGTACTTTCTCAGTTGGCCAACACAATCAGAACCAAGAGGTCAGGGATGGACCTGCTTTGGAAAAATACACTCATGGCAAGATGACATCGAGTCATCAAGTCTGATGTTGATTGCCTGTGAAAGTTCCTAACTGCTGTTTAGTTTCTGATGCTTAATTATCTCCTGACTTCATCAACACAGTTTTGAAAAGAGCACCTGGTACACTAGGTGAAGCGTATTATTTTCTGGAAGGCCAACATGTGAGAATTCAAAACTGGGATGATTTACAATGAGGGCATTTATTTATTCACAACCACAACAGTGGTTATGAATACTCATCAACTAGCTTTGCATTTCTTGCTTGGGCATGTTTCAGTTTAATTTTGTATACACTGGCTTATGAGCAGTTTTTTGATTAGAGAGGGTGGAGGGGCAGGCTCAATGTTAGAAGAGGGGGCTCAGAGAGTTTCTTTGAAGACAGAACTGTTGCAGAAACCTTTTTCACAGGCTCCATGGCAGAACTGCATGTAACAAATGGCATTAATAGTGGTTTTCCTTCATCACTTCGCATGTTAGCACAGCGTTTCTGTGACTCATTCAAAGATTAAGTCTCTGTCCTTAGAGTAGCATCTTTGATGCCTAACAGCCCTTTTTAAACTCTTGGAGCGAGTACTGAAGATCTGTATGATATGTGAACTGTTAAGTCCTCCATGTAGGCTAAATCTACAATTAGACAGTACTTGTCAGACAAGTCTATTCCTTGGACCGCATGGCCAAACAGCATCAGGGCCTGAATCACTGCCACAGCTTCCCTACAGCTCCTGACCAAATCTCACAAAGATCAATTGCTCCAATCAGCAGACAAGCTTCTGCCTGGTTTGACACAATGAACCTGCTCCACTGAAACATTTGTTCTTCGGTTTCAGTTATTGCTGCCAACCACAGATAAAAAACAGATACGAGGCAAATAATCTCAAGGCCATTCAAACAATTTCTAAGTGCAGGATGAGAGAGGCTCTATTTGCTCCAAGACAGACAGTTATGGGAAAGATCTGCAGACTTCAGTTGACTCATGTGGCTGATACCAAGCATTCCTCCTCTTGCAACATCAGTATTAGCCTACAGTGTACTCCATAACCAAGTTGCAGGTCTCCTTTATGATAGAGAAGGATAAAGAACCAAGTTATCTTCCCCAACTCCTTTAGCATCGGAATCAGTATGAGGCAGCCATTCCAGGAAAATACAGAGATGAATCCTTCTCACAAGATTCCACCAGCTACTGCTGCCAAGGTTGCGAAAACAAAAGTCATTCTGACATTTAACAAGGAGCATCAATAGGATAGTTATTACAGAATCACAGAATAGCTGAAGTTGGTTAGAAGAGACCTCTGGAGGTCATCTGGTCCGATGCCTCTGCTCAAACAGGGCCATCTAGAGCCAGCTGCCCAGGAACACATCCAGACAGCTTCTGAATATCTCCAAGGATGGAGAATTCACAACCTCCCCAGGCAACCTGTGCCAGTGCTCGATCACCCTCATAGTGACAAAGTGTTTCCTCATGTTCAGAGGGAACCTCCCATGTTTCAGTTTGTGCCCATTGCCTCTGGTCCTGTCACTGGGCACCATCGAGCAGAGCCTGGCTCCATCTACCTTGCACCCTTGCTGCAGGTATTAATAAACACTGATGAGATTCCCCTGAGCCTTCTCTTCTCCAGGCTGAATAGTCTCAGCTCTTTCAGCCTTTCCTCACAGGAGAGCTGTTCCTGTCCCTTCGTCTCCCTTGTGGCCCGTCGCTGGACTCTCTCCAGTATGTCCATGTCTCTCTTGTACTGGGGAGCCCAGAACTGGACCCAGGACTCCAGGTGTGGCCAGTGCTGAACAGGGCTGTCTGTTACTGGCATGTAGTGGAATGCAAAGAGAAAAACAAAACACACTTCAAAAATATACTTAACTATACACTTCTAAAATATAAATAACATTCTTAATGTTACTCTGTAAAACCCCATTCCTTTACTTATACTTTTCAAAACACAGAGAAAAACCACAACCAGTCCACAGGAAGAACAATACTTCTGTTGAGGCTGACTGTTCTATCCTGATGTCAACTGGATGCAGCACTACAGCCAACAGCAGCAGAAAGTGTCGACCACAGCCGTAGTGTAGCCCACTTGCAAACTAATCTGATGAAGGATAATGGTCTCAAGTCTACAGAATTGCTAGAGTAATCTAGCTTCTCCCTTGGCCTTAAACTCCCCAAAAAAATTACTGATGATATGCCCAGCTCCCCTGAGTTCTTACGGTTTATAGCAAATCCTTTCTGTTCCCCCACCTACACAGCAATCGAGTACTGTACGTACTATGAGACTGAATTTCCAAATTAAGTATCACATGGAGATCATAGCGCAGACTAAAATCTGTCCAAAATCCCAAGGTTCTCAGACTACTAGTTCCAGTGAGACCTAAAGCAAATTCAGGGCTTCTCACATTTTTCTGTTAGTTAAAACCATAATTCTGAAAACAGTAATATATTGCACTTACAACCTCTATTTTAACATTAAAGATGGCAAGCAAAACCAGAGTACGCAGAAAACTGTGGAACTTCATTTCGTGACTCATTTACTATAACTGACAACATGGCGAAGACTCGGCACAAGTCCACATGTTTCTGTAGGGTTAGGGAAAAAAATGCATAAAAAGAAAGAAAAAATGTTAAAAATCGCCCACTGTTGAGCTTTCTGACTACTCTCCCTCAAAATGCTGATGTTCAAGAGCTACTGCTATGGAGGTCCTTAAGGGTACAAAAGCTTTTAATAGTACGTTGTGTTACTGTAGACTGTACTTGAATATTGAAGATGTTTAGAAGGTTAAAAAAATCGATTTTCAAATTTCAAATTACACTTAGTCCTTGATGAGCTTTTAGCCCAAGAACAAGGTCTTTTATTTGTCCACTGCAAATTCTTGGCACGGCAAGAACAGTTCAACTTTCACCATCTCACTGATGTGTCCTGAACTTCACGCTGGAAGGTCTACTTTGAGACAGAAGACTTAGCAGATGTTCATGTTCAGTCATTAAAGCAAAAATTTCCACCAGGATGCCACATGCAGACTACACCCTGTGGAACCCTCTGCACTTAGAGCAGAATTGAGACCAACCTATCTCACACAGCCTGCGTTACTCGAGTCACACGCTTGTTACAAGCAAACGAACTCAGTTAAATTAAAGAGTGCTGTGAGAGGACTGTTGAAGAAAGCTGGCAAATAAGGCAATGCCCTACACAAAGAGCATCCCCGAAACCTCCACTCAGCCAAACATGAAGACTGCTCATTAGAGTGGTATGTCTTTTGTCCAGAGATCAGCTAACACTGATCTCTTCAAGGGGGAGATAAAAAAAAGCCCACAGAAAAGTAGAATTTGTTATGAACACAGAAATCGTGGCAGCTGCATTATTATTTAATAAAAAAGCTAGAATAATAAACAAAATTTAAGATGACCTAGAGAAACAGAGGCAATATACAGACAGTGATGCAGACTACTCCTCTTGTCCCAAGGATGGGCATACAATGGTCTCGCTACCAACCTACTGCCTGAAGAAAATTAGAAGCAACGTGGTGGGGAGGAAGGGCTTGCACCTTAGTGTCACATTTCTAGATTTCCTTCTGAAGAAGCTGTTCAACTTAAAAACAGGACCCCTTAGTCATCGCCTTCTCTTTCCCCAGGTACTTTCCTGCTTGCGACGAATTTTTAACAATTATTTGTTTCTCACACATCACTTTAGTCACTCTTTCAAAACACAGGGTTCACATGATGTCTTTCAAAGAGCTTAGCCCAAATTTTTGCTAGCACTAACTACACATAAAAATGTGAATATCTAGAAGAATCCTGAGCACCTTCTGTTCTGCTGGGAACGTCTCTGTTCTGTCAAGGAGATTAGCTGATCAAAGACATCAGTCTGGAAAGAAGCCCAGAATTAGTCCCTGTTACTGCCAGAATACTGATGCCACTAGGAATAAAGATTTAAAAACAAATAAATCACTCTGTAACCTGGTGCAAACCCAAGAGACAGTCAACTGCAAAACAGTAACTCACTGCTGTGACCCCAAAAAGCTTTCCACCTCTACAGCAGCACCTTAAGCACTGATAAAAACAGGAACGTGACTGATTTCTGAACCAGCAGATACACACAGACCACAATATAAACATTCACTTCCTGCATTTCCCTACTCCTGGCCCTGACATTACACACCCTGCAACATTACAACACAGCCAACCAGCCACCATTTATTTGGTTGTTCAGAAAAGTGCAATTTTTACCAGCTGTAATCAGAGCAAGTCCACCAGATTTTGGAAAGCCTCTAAGGTCTACAGAAAAAGCTAAGAAACACAGGGTTTTCTCACCCTCGTTAAGAGAAGTGAGACCTCCGGGGTCTCAAGCCATCTCCTTCTTCATGGAGATGGCATGTAAAAGAATCAGGCCCTGGTATCTGAAAGGCAGGGTTATTACGCAATCAGAGTACTCATGCTACTCCA